CTGTCTCTATTCTTTTCCTTTCCCCTTTTGCTCTGTGGAGGAAGGAGAGGAAAGGGGAAGGGTGACAGAACAGCTTGGTGGGCATCACCTGCTCAGCCAGGGTTAACACACCAGAGTCCTTTTTGGTGCCAAAGGTGGGGCACTTACAACAGCAGTTTTATATTATAGCCATAGTAGCTGCTAGGCTGCAAACCTCTGTGCTGGTCCCAGGTTTGACTGTGGCTTATCTCTATTTTGCTAAGCTTCGGACCATGCTAATGCAAATAATGACTTTCTGTTATGTCCTGCCTGCAATTACTTTACTTTGTTGGGGAAGCTATCTTGTGGAGAAGATAAGGGAATACATCTCCCTCTCCCTACCAGGGACAGATGCGAGCAGCTTTATTGCTCAGGCTCATAAGGTACTAACTCACCCTTTTTTGGGTTAATTGCTCACATCACATGAGCAATTAACACTGCTGGCCTATTGTGGGGTGCATGGAGTATGATCTCATCTTGGGGTAAGAGAAAACAACTTTTGTATGGGGTGACACCGAATTGTGCTCTGAAGCGGCCCGTTCCTGGGTGGCAGGGTGTATGGAAGGATTTGGGCAGGTTTCTAGGATGGTTATCACCTCCCATAGCCTGGGACTTTACACCTGAACAGGCAAGCAATCCTGTCAAATTGACCCAACATCTAATAGAAGGGTGCCTTGCCTACCCTGATGAAAACCAACAGCCCCTAGCACGGTCCTGGGGTCTGGCCTGTGCCTACTGAGCCGCAGTTCAGTGCTCTCTGGAGACTGGGGTTGAGGCAGGGACCCAAACCACTCAAACAACGACTACCACTGTACTTGTCCCACTAGTGAAAAAGAAGCAACGGACAAGAATAACAGGCCCATATCCGTGATTAACGAGGGCAAGGGATGAAGAGAGGAGGAAGAGTTGGGTCGAGAACCAGGACCCTCAAAACACAGAGAAGGGAGGACACTGTAACGGAACTGAAACAAGAAGCAAAAACTACCCGGTCCCTGACCTCCTCAGAACTTCAGGACCTGAGGAAAGATCACAGCTACCAGCCAGGGGAGTGGACTGCTACCTGGCTGCTTCCATGCTGGGATAACGGGGCTGACCCGTAGCAGCTGGAAGGTAAGGAAACCAAAAGCTGGGCTCCTCTGCTAGGAATAGGGGAACTGAGAGAGGAATCAGAAAAAAGGCAGCAATTTGCAGTCTCTGGAGATGGGAGTCTCTTGAGCACGAAAGCAAGCAAGATATCCGTTCAAGGAAAACCTCATGAGCTCTAAATCCTCAGGAAAGTGGTCCACTGCAGATGAAGGTATCCAGTACCTGAGAGAAATAGCAGTACTGGAAGTAACCTGTGGGGATTTAGACAACGACAAACACCCCAAAGATCCAGAGGACGTCCAGTGTATACAGGCTGTGTGGAAAATGGTGGTCAAAAATGCTCCAGCATCATGCCTCACCAGCTTGGCAACAATATATTATCCACAAATGGACACTCCAACTGTGGAGATAGCATCTTCCTGGCTCCAGAATTTCAAAGAGAGCCTTGGTAGCTCCACATCCCTGAAGGCTAATGCCCTGGACGTCAAGGACACATCAAGAAATCAATTCTCTCCTGCGCCAGTCAGAGGGAAAGGGAACCCAAGGCGCACACCACATGGCACACTATTTTTTACTGCACAACCAGGGATAAGACATGAGGAAGCGGGATGGTCAACCCACCTTTTAAAGCTGGAAGCCCATGTACACAAACTAAGAGGGAAGACACCTGTCAAGAAGAGGCCATCCAAGAAGGCTGTCAGTGTAGTCATGGGAGGAACACGAGAATGGAATCATTGATCTCCCAGATATGAAAAGACTGGGACTACCTTACTTCATCCTGATGAAGGGACTTCTTGTCTGGCACGGCAATGGTCAGACAGAGAATACACTGACCAGGAACATGAATAGAGGGTCCCTGCCTCTGGCGAGGAGGAAAGGGATGACCGTGTGTACTGGTCTGTGTGGGTTTGATGGCCTGGCACACAGAGCTCACGGAAGTACAAAGCTTTGGTAGACAATGGTGCACAGTGTATGTCAATGCCATCAGGTCACAGAGGCACAGAACCCATCTGGATCTCTGAAGTGACAGGGGGATGCCAAGAACTGTCTGTACTGGAGGCCGAGGTGAGCTTGAGAGTGGCGACAAGTGGGAAGAGTACCCCATTGTGACTGGCCCAGAGGCTCCTTGTACCCTTAGCATAGACTACCTCAAGAGGGGGTACTTCAAGGACCCAAAGGGGTACCTATGGGCTTTTGGGGCAGGTACTGTGAACACAGAAAAGATAAAACGACTATCCACCCTGCCTGGCCTCTCAGAAGAGCCCTTTGTCATAGGGCTGCTACAAGTTCCAGCACAACAGGTGCCAGGTGCTACAAGGAGAGTGCATGGGCAGCAATATCGCACCAGCCGAGACTCGCTGGCTCCCAGTCATGAGTTGATTTGTCAGCTGGAGAACCAAGGTGTGATCGGCAAAACACATTTGCCTTTTAATAGCCCCATATGGCCAGTGCAGAAGTCTGACAGAGGGTGGGGGTTGACAGTAGACTATCGTGGCCTGAATGAAGTGACTCCACCTTTGAGTGCTGCTTTGAGTGTAGACATGTTAGAGCTACAATTTGAACTGGAGTCCAAGGCAGCCAAGTGGTATGCTACCATTGACATTGCCAACGCATTCTTCTCAATCCCTTTGGCAGCAGAGTGTAGGCCACAATTTGCTTTCACATGGAGGGTTGTCCAGTGCACCTGGAATTCGCTGCCCCAGGGGTGGAAGCACAGCCCCACCATTTGTCATGGACTAATCCAAACTGCTCTGGAAAAGGGTGATGCCCCTGAAGAGCTCAAACATATTGATGACATCATTGTTTGGGGCAACAAAGCAGAAGAAGTGTTTGAGAAAGGAAAGAGTCATTCAGATTCTTCTGAGAGCTGTGTTTACCACAAAAAAAAAAAAGCAAAGTCGAGGGACCTGCACAAGAGATTCAGTTCTTGGGAATAAAATGGCAGGATGCGATCAACAAGATAGCAAATATGTCTCCACCAGCTAACAAGAAGGAAACAGAAGCTTTCCTAGGACTTGTGGGGTTCTGGAGAATGCATATTCCAAATTACAGTCAACTTGTGAGCCCTCTCTATCAAGTAAACCAAAAGAACCACCATTTTGAGTGGAGTGTGGAGCAACAACAAGCCTTTGAGCACATCAAACAGGAGATAGCTCGTGCAGTAACTCTTGAGCCTGTTCAGACAGGACCAGCTGTGCAAAATGTATTGTACACAGCAGCTGGGGAGCATGATCTCAGATGGAACCTCTGGCAGACAACATCAGGAGAAACTCAAGGTTGAGTCCTGCCATTAGGGTTTTGGAGCCACGGATACCGAGGATCAGAAGCCCACTATGCCACAACTGAAAAAGAGATACTAGCAGCATACGAGGGGATTTGAGCCACTTCAGAAGTTGTTGGTACAGAAGCACATCTCCTCTTGGCACCACAATTCCCTGTGCTACATGGGATGTTCAGAGGAAACATCCCCTCTACACATCATGCAACCAGTGCTACATGGAGTAAATGGCTAGTGTTGATCACGGAAGCTCAGCTAGGAAAACCCAACCATCCAGCGATTCTGGAAGAGATCACGGACTGGCCGGAAGGCAGAGATTTTGGAGCTCTGCCCGAGAAGGTGGTTTGTTCCCAAGAGCTGCCACCATATAACGAGTTACCAGAAGGTGAACAGCGTTCTGCTTTGATACTGATGGATCGTGTCGTGTGGTAGGAAACCATCAGAAAAGGAAAGCTGCTGTGTGGAGTCCCACAAGACAAGTGGTTGGGGCCACTGAAGGATACGATGAGTCAAGTCAGTTTGCAGAAGTGAAAGTGATCCAATTAGTCCTAGAGACTGCTGAATGAGAAAAGTGGCCAGTACTGTACCTCTACACTGAATTCTGGATGGTGGCCAATGCCCTATGGGGGTGGCTACAGGAGTGGAAGAAGACCAACTGTCAGTGCAGAGGTTAACCTATCTGGGCTGCTGCACTGTGGCAGGACATCGCTGCCCGAGTGGAAAACATGACTCTAAAGGTACATCATGTAGATGCTCACGTGCTCAAAAGCCACGCCACTGAAGAACATCAACACAAGCAACAGGTAGACAAGGCTGCCAAAATTCCTGCTTCCCAGGAAAAGGCCAGACATCACCTGCTGATGGGAAGTAGAGAATAAATCTTTGGTTTTTTTTTCCCCATTTTGCTTCTGTGCACAGCAGTGCTTGTTTTTGTTTTTCTAATTAAACTGCCCTTGCTTTTACCCACAAGGCTTCTGTCTCTATCTTATTTTCCTTTCCCCTTTTGCTCTGTGGAGGAAGGAGAGGAAAGGGGGAAGGTGATAGAATGGCTTGGTGGGCATTACTTGCTCAGCCAGGGTTAACCCACCACAGGAGACTTGGAAAAAAACCCAAAACCCTTTGTTCCACCTATTAGTTCCATAGGTACCCTGTAGCAAGTAAACATTTGTACTTAAAAAAATAACATTAAGTTACAGCTTGTAACCATAAACTATTCTGCTCTAGGAATTATGCTGCAAAAGCCAGGTTTAGTAATAAAACACACTCCTTTAACTTAGTTGACTCTGACACCTTTTTGAGAACATCTTAAGCTCTGCCGTCAGCAACCACAAGAGAAAGATTGCTGTATCTGCTGTCAGATACAAATCCCCTCAGCGACTGGACTAGTCCTTAACAACGCTGCGGTTTTCACACGTGATGAAAAGACATTCTTGCATAATTGGTCAGTGTGTCTGTAGTGCAACTGAACTGGAAGGCTTCCAACCCTTTGCATTCTGTTGGTAGACCTCGCTTTTAAGTCAGTTTGTATGAAAAGGGAGATGCAATTGCAACATTAAACCCCACTGACTGAAGTTTTTGCCATGAAACCTGCAAACACAGGTTAGGGAATGTGTCATACAGGCAGACCAAAACGATGCTTTTTCTTCTTAATGGGCTTTAAGTTGGTCAGTCTACGCAAGTCCTCTTCAGTGTCCGATTCCTCCATCTCATCATCTGCTGAAATAAGGATCTAAAAAGAAATTACAGTTTTTGAGTAACAGGGATCAAAGTCACACTTTCTTCATTCTACTTCTAACCTGTGGCTATTTTTTTTTTTTTTTTAATGCTTGCAAAGCACCTTATATTTGCTCAAAAAAGAGCTTAGAGAACATAATTTGGATTTATTCCCAGTACTATAAAGAAAGGTCACACATACTACGTGTGACTTCAATAATTTTCCAAGAAGGATGCACCCCTATTAATCTCTACTACAATCACTGACTCTAAAGCCAAGGACTCCAGCATCTCCAGAACAGTGGGGACAGGTTGCTGTTAAAGTCAGACAGAATATATAAGCTCTCTATCCACACTGGTAATAGGGCAGTCATTTTAGTAAAGGAAACCCTATATATAACTAGTATCATCTATAATGCAGAAATGTTACTTTAGCCAACTACAGCTAAAACAGCCTACCTTCAAAGATCCCACCCATCCTTCAGGTGAACTGAAAACTGCCCATTTAATATAATGTAGAACAAAATCATGCTAAAGCAAGGATGTAAATACAAAATCAGGCCAGCTGCCACCACCAGGTTACTCTCTCACGTTAAGCTATTAACCTCTCTTTGAACTAGAATTGTCTATTAGTTTTGTATTCCATGTGGTTTTTTTTTTTAGAAGCATTTGTAATACAGTTCACCTGTGATATTTAAATATACTACTATGTCTTCCTGCCCACCTGGAAGGAACTACCATGAGTGGTGAAACAATGCCATTTTTCGTAACTGGTTTTCAACTGCAAACACGAGGAACTACTGTTAGAGGTACATGCAACGAAAATCAAACCTAAGTTGACAGTATTACAATGAAATCAATGGCATGATTAACTGGATCGGTATTGCATTAATTGCAATAATTAACTCCACATACTTCTGACTCTGATTCTTCATGTGATGCTGCTCTCCTGTATCGGACTTTACTTCCATTTCTTGAATCTTGTCCTGCTTCCTTTTCTTCAAGTTTAGCTTTTGTCTTCCCTTTTTTCATAAGAAAATTATCTACTACCCAGAACATTAATGCCTGTTGAAGAGAAGGGGGAAATGAGAGTTCAGTTTTTCTCAGAGTAGCACATGCTCATTCATTCAGTATTTGGACAGAATTAGAACTTGACAACAATTCTGAACTGGCCAAGCAAGTAAAATCTTGTGTAGGCACATGGTCATGTGGCTTATTACACACTGCAAGAATGCTCTAGAACACAGCTACTTTATTCCTTTAGAGAAGAAAAGAAAATATGAAGTGTAGCTGCTACGCAAAGTGATTGTATATTAACTCCTCATGTAGAAATGTGAACAGTTTAAGCAGTGCAATAACCTTAGTGCAATGGACTTTTGGTTCTCAAAGGATAAAATTCACACGTAAAAAAATCGATGAAAGTAAAAAGAAAATCACCAGCAGCAATATTAAATGAAAGGACACCCACCATCTCTGGCTCTAGTCCCCAACTCCCAGGTCACTGGAGGAGTATACTTTGGGAAAGATGATTGCACACTTGCCCTTTTCTCCTGCTCCATCACAGGCCAGCCACTACTAGCTATGGTCAGACACAGGATACTTCATAGTACAGCTGTCCTTAGACCAACTGTTTCCTAAAGCATATTTCATTATAATTTTATATCCTCTGTGTCATCATTTCAGTAGTACATTCAATCTGCTGAAGCCATCAGGCCAAAGAGGCCTAAGAGGCATTTCTGCACCTCTCCTGAGCCTGGTTACTTGGCTCAGTATGGATTTCAGCCTTGTAAAATCTACATAGCCAGACATTTCATCTATTCTTTAAAATGCTTCCTCTTTAAAAATTAACTTAAGCACCAAGGTACACTGTGATTTAAAGACTAATGTTGATTAGTTAACATGGCAGAAAGATATCCAAGTAAACACAGAAGCACACAAGCAGTACTAACATTAACAAAGAAGGGAACTATCAGCATGACGATGGCCAGCTCCAGCTGGGGGTTCTCTATAGGATTCAATAAAGCTACCTGTGAAAAGAAAAGGATTACATTCAGATCATGGCAGCGTGTGCACATAACTGAATTAGTAAGTGCCATTGTTCATGCACTAGCTAATGCTACAGAAGTAATTCAGATGAACCAAAAAAGGACAGCTTTTAAGTTACCACAGATAAGTAAGTGGGACTGGCAAGAAACTTATCTCTGTCATTTGTGTTTACACGAGTCTGAAGAGCTGTGTTAGAATCATCTCAAATATTTTAGAGCTGCATGCTCCCCAGAAACATGTTTTAAGATCCATCTTTAAGAAATTTAAACAGAGCAGTTTTACAAAATACAAGGTAAGGAAAAGACTGTTCCCAAAGTAGTCCAGAACATACAATAGGGACTAAACTGGTTTTAGTTTAAAAACCACTAAACTGGTTTAGTTTGGGCTATTACACCACACACCATCACTTTGAATATTTGGTTGCAGATCCCATCAAAATAATTCATTAATCCATTGCAAATTTCTAAAATTCTGCTTTAGATCTGTCAACAAGGTCAGGCAAGGAAAATTCTTTAAAACATGACAAGAAGCAATACAAAATAGCTGTGAGTAAGGGTTAAAGAGTTAAGAAAAGGAGGAGCCACTTAGTAACTTCCAGAGCACTCAGACAAGGAGAGAGAGTAAAATTTTCTGTCTTGCAGTATGTAAAACTTCCAAAATACGATAGGATATATCTGGCAATGGATGTCAGAAAGCCTAATTTGCAGTATCTTAATCGAGCTAAACACAGAGTTAAACAGCATTGACCATAGACAGTTATGATGCTTGAGCCAAACCCGTAACTGCTACTAGAAATCTAGTGCTTTACAGCTTCCACCTGAAATTCACTTGTTTATAAAACGCTGTAAAAACACAAACCTCTTTCCACTGAGGTATAAGAAGCACTATAATGATGATGGTTTTCTCAAATGTCATAATCATTATGTACAGAGCACATTGGCCCACCCAAGCACTGCACTGCACTGGGTCACCTGTAAGAAAGAAGAAAGGTTCAATATGTGCATAGGGCGATTTATAGGTGATTTTACTTTACAGTAAATGTTTTAGAAAAGCAGATTTGGAAGAGGCAGGCCAGCTATATTCTCTTAAAGTGCCTTCTCCGGTTTCCTCGATGCTTCTCATTCCCCTCCCTCAGCCTCACCCCAAATTCCAAAAAGTCTCAGTTAGAAACCGAATATGAGGACTTCACTTGATTCAGCAACACCTGGTTATACAATCTCTGTTTTACGTAACCCGATAAAAGCAAGACAGCTATAGCTGCATCACATTTGTTTCTCCTCAAAATGTTACTTCTGACCCTCTATCATGAAACATTAAGTTTCTTAAAAGGGGAAAACTCCAGGGAAACACACATTGAAGGGCAGTAAATTTTTCCCTGGCTAAGTAGGAATGTGATTATTTCTGCCATTCTCCCTAGGCTACCTTAAACGCACTTCTCCTTGCTACAAAATTAGTTACCATAACTAACCAATCATAATTGAATCAAGAGGCACAGAAACGGCTTTAAAAACTTTAATTGAACAAAAAATTACATTTTAGTTTCAGTCTGAAAGGGTTTGAAAATCTTCTTCACCACATAGTTGCAGAGTGAAAACCTGAGTGCATTAAGTTATCTGCCAGGACACAATGAAGACCACAAACACCTGAACATGAAAGCTTATGTAAACTATTATACTCTATTATGAAGCGAGAAAAGAAGAAAAAAAGCTTTGCAGGTAACCCTAAAGCCACAGTGGACTAGAAAACAAAAGGAAGGTTTGGAGAGGAAGGTATTAGCTCTGCAGTTTTCATGATAGTCTTCTGCAACATCTTCCAAAGCAGCTTAAAACTTTTAGCCTGGGGATGAATAACGGGCAATGGAAATTCGGATGCCTTTATGTATTTGTAATGCATAATGGACAGTTGCTACTTCCTTTCCTGGAACATTTTTGAAAAGTTTTCAGTATTAATACTTGCTAATAGTCTTGAGACTTACTGTTTGCTGCTTAAATGCTATGAAGAGAAACTGATAAATTGGACTGAGTCCAAAACAAAGAAAACTTCCTAAATTAGTTTTACAGTGAGAGCTAGTAACAACACTCAATAAACTGAGAGGAAAATGGTTAAAACACTCATGTTTCACAATTGTATGCTTTAGTTTATGACTTCTGTTGTAAAAAGAAAAAGTTAAAAAATTTAAAAGGGGAAACGCCAGCAATTCAGAGTTGAACAATGGTGATTCTTCTGAAGATACAAGGCCTGAAATACATTTGAGAATTAAATTTTAGCAATTAATTTCTATACTCCATGTTTTTATTACCTTTCTCTAGTTTAGTTTTCTTCATTAACCAGCAAATATGAAAACAAAAATCTAGCTTTAGCAACACTTACCACTCAAACTTTATCAGTTCATTCTAAGCTCTTTTCCAATCTGTATTTAACTCCTAAAAGCAAAGACAGCTATAGCAATTTTGCATCTATTCCACCTTTGTCACATGATATTTGATATGTCCAGAAATTGAGAATGTCTGTATTAAACTCTACTTGAGGACTTTTATGCATTCTACTGCATCTACAAAATTATCTCTCAGCTATAATTACAAGCAGGGAGAACAGGGATGATTTCTACTTCAAATTTACCACATCTTTTGATAGTCTCCCAGTAACATCCTCACAGATAAGCTGGGAAAGATATTGACTGGATGGGTGGGTGTACAGTCCTGACATAAAAAAAAAAAGCTTTCAGAGTGGTTAAGAACTTGAGGAGGTTCTTCAGAGGGGTTCTTAAATCTCAAGACGTGGACAGATTAAAAATTGGACTGGACCATGCCTTGAACAACCTGCTTTACCTTTGAATTTAATTCTGCTTTGAGCAAAAGGTTGGATTATATGAGCTCTGGAGATGCTTTCCAACCATATTTTTTAAGTGATTTTATAAACTATGCAATTCAAGGGAAAAAAGTAAAAATTGTTATCACCACATTCAAGAGGTGTTCCCAAGAATATTTGGGTCATTTGTATATTCAAGCATTCAGTATACAAACTGAAAATAAATACAGAGCCACAAAGCTCTAAATTAATTTCTGAAGTTTTACAGTAGGTGCTGTCTACCCTATTATGGCTGCAAGTTGCTCTGCAAGTGGCAAACAGAGCCAGAGAGAAAAGATGCATCAAATACAATTTCTAAGCTTTGCCATCTGAGAAGCCAAGAGACCACAGCATGATTTAGTTGCTTGTAGAGTTCATTGTCAGCAAGAGGGATTTAGTCACCCATTTTCTACTTGCAGCAGCTAAAGTAGCCTAAGACAAGAAGGATAGGAGAACACAGGGAACATTCTCTTCAGTACAGATCATGGCTGCTTTTCTCCTCTTCATATACTCAAATATATTAACTGATTCTGCACTCTCGTTAAAATCCAGCTGCTGAGGTAATGAATGAGAAAATACAAACCTAGAAATATGAAGACAAATCTAATAAACCTGAAAGTTCTGACACAGAAAAAAGCCCTCAAGGGAGCGTCACGCTGCTTTGTTCGTAAATCAGCGTGCAGTGCTGTTTTGCTGTACAAACAGCAACCATTTATGAGGACTGATATTTTGGTTTCCATTCTTTCCTTGAGGCATTTAGGCTTAAAAACTATGCGCCATATAAAGAAGAGGCTTTTAAAACCAGCAGTACGTGGTTATTTTTGTGACAGCTACAAGTAATGAATCACCAGGGATCAAGTAAGAGAGCTAAGAAGGGAAATGAGCTCACAGTGAGAATTAACTTGAGACAAATGAATATTTAGGCTCTAGAAACACAAACAACATCGGTCAATCACAAGAAGAGACTTGTTTTGGGGAGAGGTTCTCGTTTGTTTTCCTGCACTTGTAAACAAACTGGAATCACGCTGATCTCCAAGCTGAGGACTTGGTTTTACTGCTACTACAGGTAAGATGCCACAAGTCTCCAATGCCTTTCAATGAGCAGACCCCTCACCACCCACGAATGCCAATCCAGGTTTAACTTCAAATTACTAAGTCTAAGCACACTTGCGACCCTGCATGACTGCATTTTAGTCCTCTCTTCTACTCTACTTAATTATTCTAAATAATCTTATGAGGATTAAGACAAGAGTTTTCTTGATGACATTTAAATAAAATGGTGATATAAGTGTTTTCTCTTCAGAAACAACAGTGCTACTTAACAGAAGAGGGCAGCCAACAGTCCGATGCAACGTGTCCTTTTTAGACAGATTTCTTACACAGGGTTCCACCCGCACAACTATTACTAATAACTTCCTATCTGCTGTCCAGTTCTCTTTATACAAGAAGCCTCTTCCACATGATTAATAGAAACAGATCAAAATATGCTTTTGTAATAGCCCTTGCAATGGCTTGGTTAAAAAACCCAAACACACTAAGGTTAGGACAGCATATTAATGAAGATACAGAAAAGAAAGTTCTTCCCTAATAACATGATCTGATATTGGAAAGAACAACTAAGCAAAGACAACTTATGTAATTTCATACATCAGTTACACACACACACACACACACAGAAGAAAGACTCGATAAACATTTTTAGGCGTTTCAGATCTCCTAACTCACAATGACAAAAATGGATCAGTTGCAGACCCCCTCTGCAGCAGAACACAACTAATGAGATCATATGTTGATTTTAAGAGCTTAGTTACCGCAGCCACAGATGCTTGATAACTAAAATAAAAAAAGGTTGAATTTCAGAAGTCAATAAGAGACAGATTTCAGGAGAGCAAATACAGTCCCAACATCTTCCCATCCGCACAGACCGCGTATTGTAAAAAGAACATTAAAGTGGGAGAGAAGAACAGATTACACAAGGAAAAACAGAATGATATTAGAAAGAAATGTAATCATGTCAAATACTAGATTTTAAGTACTTACAACCGTAATAGATACACCAAGCTTTTCTCTCTGAGTGGAAAGAATTTTATATGGGCTAAAAGCCATTCAAACATCTTTAAATGGCTTCAAGGCAAATCAAAAATCAGAAAAAGGGACTTTGGGCAATAGGTCTCAAAGCCCCGTCAGAAGGTGCAGCTCAGCAATGTCTGAGTTCTTTCCTTACCCTCTTCCCTTTCCTGGGCATTGGTGCTTACCTAATCCCTTAGAGACCCAAGGCTGAGGACTGATCTGGAGGAAGTATTTACTTTGCTACAAATGGTAAATTTTCTGATGGTTTAGCTCTCCCAATTTGCTCCCTGAAGAGTCAAATGTGCACCAGTCCAAGGAAAAGAGCAGAAATATTGGACCGTAGCATGTTGGGGAAAAAAGCAGCTAAACAGGGTTGTGGCAGTGCTGTTTTATAAAGCTTAAATGGTCATAAACTGTACCCTAGAAGACACATATTAAATCTACATAGATCTAACAGAAAATGCCCTAATGCTATAGGCATTTATTCCTCCTAAGATAGATGCTTGTCATCTTCTCTGTTTAAAACCTCTGACATTAAAGCAAACAGCAATTAATGCTATTTGATTTAATTGTGAACTTACCAAGCTTTTAAAGTACTTCAACTAGGCATGGCCTTTGTTTATTTATTCTTAATTCTGTCAGCCACTTAGGACCATAAAAAACAAAGAAACATACAAACCCAAAAAAACTACCAATGACAATTGTGAAACTGCTATGAAAGTTTTTACTCTGTTAGGCAAACGTTAATTTAACTTCCCCCCCATCCCAAACCATAGGGTGCTTTTTTATTTTTTTCTCTCTGATGAAGAGCCACAACTCTGTTATAAGGCATCCTTATCTCAAGGAGCCTCAAATGTAATTTTTAGCATCTATACAGAACTTCCATTCTCAATCAGCCAGACTAAGCATTCTGAAAATACCAGATTGAACAGAATTAATTGTTGGTGTTGAGAATGTATGATACTCAATTGCATCTGCAAATCAACAATTTCTGGAGATCAGTGGACTTCTGTGGCTGACATAATGGAAGATAAACCCCACAACTTCACATGAAAGTGATTTCACTAGTCTATCCTTTGTATCAATGATACAAGCCCGGCGTGCAGGAGGCCCAGCGGTCATTACTTGTGGACAAGCACAGCCCATTTTGCCACTCTCTCCATTGGAGGTATCCGATTGTTTACTTTAAAGAGGGCTGGCAGAACTCTTAGCTTGTATCTTCAGACAATGGCATGTGGTTCAGGGAAAGCTTTAATAGGAAAAGACTTTTCAGCTATTATTTAAAACAGTTTCAGTGTAGATTTATCATGCTGTTTTTTTCCATGAGATTAGGCAATATTGTAATTTGTTCAATCACTTCTAAAATACTAAATATTCAAGCAGTTGTTCCAGACTCAACTGAATGCTTAGATTTTTTGAGCTTTCTAACACAGAAGGCGCATGCTGAGATACAGAACTTAAAAGAACCCTTGTGACAATGAAATATTAAAATGACCACTAGAATCACTGTGTATTGATTTTGAGATGAGTTAACCGCTAGCTGAAATATTCTGGGATTCTATCCTGAAAAATCATTTCAGTACAAGCACAGAAACATTTACCATATTCACCGAAGCGAAGGGAGTCCCACTGCTGCCATTCCACAATGCTGCTGACTGCACATATCCCAACGTAGATCAGCAGCATTCCTAATGTGGCATCTAACAAGAAGTTGATAAGGTACCTGAAAGGAAAAATGTAGAAACACTAGGAGCAAGGGTCCATGTTCTACAAGTTAAGTGTATTTTAACACCACAATTGATAAGAGATCTGTATATATTTTGAGAATCCAGGGTACATATAATCATGAATAATGACTGAATAATAGTTTACCTATTTCTGTAATTACATACTTAATTACTAAAATTTAAGTAGTTCTAGGAGAGTCTCAATATCTGGTTTCTGTCCTTAAAGGTAAGCTCCAATTTCTATTTTCATGGACTCCTCTGTGTGCATGTGCATACTCCATACAAATTCCAACATTCATTTTACTCCTTTCAATTAAAAAATAGATTTCTTTTTTACCACTACTCAGTTCATTCATCATGGAAAATGTGTATTTGAATATCAAGCCAAAGGAGTAAAAGGAAAAGGAACAAAAGGAGAAGCTATATTAAAACACACCTCAACTAACCAGAAGGCAAAAACCCCAACTTAAACCATTTTCATTCCAGGGAGGAAAGACACCAGCAACTAAGAGTTTTTCTTGCTTGAGGGAGCCCCCTCCTAGCCTCAACAAGGAGCAATAAGCACTGGAATGCTGTGTCTAGAGAGTATGGTCACTATTCAGGCTAAATTTAAACTTATTTAGTGTTAGGAAAGTGATTTATTTCCTTGCACTTCAGTTCTTTTCCAATAAACATTCAAAATAATGAGGAACAAGGCTTCCCAGAAAAAAAAAAAAAAACAAACAACGGAAAACAAACCACCCCTCAATGGACACACAACTGCTGTTTAATTCTAATTCTAATTCTAATTCTAATTCTAATTCTAATTCTAATTCTAATTAATTCTGTTTAATTCTGTTTCTAACTAATTCTATTGTTTCAAGAACAGCTTCTAGGATTTTACCTGTGCTTCAAGAAACTAGGGATTACTATGAGTTTCAAAATAATTCTTAGGTTCATTAAGTGGTGCAGCTGAGATTCAAAGTGTTTTGTAAATCATTTTGGTTTAGTTACTACCACTGATTTTAGCTGAACAATAGAGCAGCTGAGGAAAAGTCAGCTGTAAGACTCACAATAAATCCCTGTTATTGAGACTCTTATTTGGGAGTTCCAAATACTTCAGGTAAACTCTAGAGTCACTAGGAACTTATCTGCAGGGATAAAAATAGCAAATCAGAGACATGGGGGCTTCTGGCTGTAGGGACAAATCCACGTCGACAAAATAGTATCAGGAAGCAGGAAGGAAAGACTGAATATGTGCATTCAAAACACTAAAAAAGAAGCTGTTCTGACCCTTGAAATACCATTCAAGAGCAGCTCAAAAATAAAAATGAAGCAGAAATGCCTTGCTTCAGCCAAGACTTACCCATAAACTTTCTAAAAAAAATAGTTATTTTCTAATAGTTGTGTGTCAAACCAGAATTTGAATGAACTTTGTATCAGACAAGCATTGAAATAATAGTTTAGTGTTTGGCAGAGAAAACTCAACAATTCCAAGTCTACACAAGTCATTTGAAGGCCACAAGGGGCTGCTGTAAGTCTGCAGCAGAATGGCAGCTATCGGGAGCAGGGAGAAGAGATGTGCCAACACCTATTTCGCATCCAATTATGGCTCGCAGTGCAGGGCAAGTGTACCTGATGTTCCCAAGCACATCGGGCTCACCACTTGTTGGGAACACTCGTTTCATTCTGTGAGGCATGGCATTAGCCCTGCTCCCAGGTAACTGCTGCCCCGGCCCAAACAACAAAGCAAGCTGCTGCTGCTGTCAGCAGCATGCATTTGGCCAGGGGAGAGTTCAGTGGGTAAAGGTTGGGGGTCACACAAACTGCCTGGCTGAGCACCCTGCCACTACCCCAGAAGAGTGCTGTTTGCTGCTTCTGCTTAAAATTCTTCAACCACCCACCCATCTGGTGAGGTGTTTTAACAGATGTTTTATCAGCTTTGATATTATCACACACCTGCCAGAATTACAGCACTACGTTCCAAAACTAACAAATGGTGACTTCCAATTGTAGTTCCTTTCAAGCTTTGAACCACAATGTTTTCTAAAACTACATTTTCTGGTTTTGTCCTGAAAATAACTCGCAAACTACAAAATAGAACAGAAAACTATACATGTCTGCATTTGCAGAGAAAAATTATTATTAAAGTCACAACCAGAAACGTTGCTTTTACTGACTGATTTTCACCTACTTGCACACTTAAGATATTGTTTACCCAAGAACAGACAAGTGCCTTTGGTTAATACTACATGCTGGGTTTTTTTTTTGCTAACAAGGAGGACCTGCAACCCTTATCTGAGTAATTATACAGCTCCACACTATAATTTTTGTTATCCTTAGAACAGGGAATAACAGTTCTCACTTAAATGAAAAGTGCTAATTGAAAATAGAGTTATGTGAATTCCATTAAAATATTTAGAAGAGAACATACGTTAATAAACCTTTTATTTTGAAAGCTCCACAGACAGCACCAAGTTTTTGAATTTTAAAATACTGTGATAGAACATTGAGCTTTAGCTTTAAACACTGACCATTTCAGACATGGTTTGGTTACCTTACTTGAATATATACCTTAGTATATAAAAATGGAATAAAAGTAATTTCCACCTGCCATTTTTTAAATCTGTCAGGAAATTCTTAAATCAGTAAGCAAGGAAAATCCTACCATGATGTCTGGTATGATTGAGCCTGTCATAATTATAACTTAAACTTTGCATTTATTTTAACACACTAACTGTATCTACCCTATCAAAATGCTTTCTGGTGGGAAAAGAAAAGCAGCGTTTTACTTGCAGTTACAGCATGTAGGAACACAAAAGAAATGGAGGAGGAATAAGGGAAATAAAACAGGCTTGTGAAACAACACAAGCATATTCCTTGAACTGTGTAGCTCCTTTGTTTACCAAAGGACAACAGCGAGCAGAAGCCATTAAAGGAAATAGATTGGTTTTAAAGGGGAAATTACTAGGCTTTTAAAAGTAATTTCACAGCTTCTATTACCAGGAATGTGCAAGCTTCTTTGAGCAGGAGCTCTGTCAAGAACAAACCCCAGCAATTGCCATTTGCTTCAGGAGCTACTTGTACAGAGCCTGACAGGGTCTTAGTCATAAAATCTTCAGGTTTAATATACTACAATAAAATGCTTATCTACTTAGTCACACTGCTCCACGCATGACATTGCAAAATTAATTTTGGTACTAACTGCCTGGGTACCGAGCAAGGTTTGCCTGCTTTTAACAAAATGAAAATAATACCGCAATAGCAAATGTAGGTTTTAAAAGAAAATACAAGGAGGAATGACTTCTGCTAAATATCCCTGAAAGCAACCTGACTTGATATTAAAGCCTTGCTGCCTTGAACAGTGCAATTGGAGGTCTGTGTACCCAACTTTATATCCATCTCCTTTGGTCCCTAGCACCTCCTTCAGTAAAGAGCCCCATATTACAACATGCATCCCAAGTTTTCATTCATTCATTCATTCACTGGAGAGGGAGAAGAATAATAAGTGTACCCTTGGTCTAAAACAGCTCTGCAAACCCCAGAAAAAGCTTTCCCTGGTCCTGCATGCCATGAACTAGAAAAGCAGAATTTGATCCTTGATTAACTAAGCTTAAACCACAGGTTTTTGAATGTGATTGATTTTATCATGAAAACTGGTTTCTCAGCTCTATCTTGTATTATTACCCCTGTACAGCATCAAACTCAACTGCGGAACTTCCATAAAGACCAATTATTCTTGAATTAAACACTCACAGTGAACAAGGGTCTTCTTCTGTAAGGTCTGATAAATAGACATTTGCAAAGTGGATGAACAACATTCCTATGGCTTGCTTAGATGTATCTAAAAACCTGTACAGAGTAAAAACAGTTTTTAAGACACACAAAACTGTTTACAACACAGACACTACAAATTTATTTTAATTAAAATTCCATCCGAATTATTTATTTTTCTTCAAATGAGAACATAAGACTAATAAAGCGCCATGGTATTTAGCTTATTAACAATGTTCCATTTGAAATTATGCCCTTTTTTTTCCCCTTGAATATTGGTAACAAACCAAATCATACTAACATGGAACCTTACCACTCCAAGCGTAGAGACTAAGAAATCCTCCTGGTATCATATGCATTATCCAAGAGCTAATCCTCGCTAAACCTAGCTAAGTCTTTAATAACCTCCTGTAAACAACAAGTTTCCCAGCCTCACTAGATATTTCAGACCTTTTACGTTTCGGACCTTTTACATTTATACATTTTGAGCAAGTTTTAGCACAGACAAAAATAAAATCCTCATCATGTGCCTGTCTGTGAACAATTTCACTGGCTGGCTAATAAGTCCTTTATCTACAGTATTTTGCTAAAAAGTCAATGCATTTTCAGCTGAAAGCCTGATGTAGTCTCGCTGAATTTTATCTGTAGTGTAACAGCTTAGACCACACTGCAAAACAATTACAACCTTGGAAGCATTATCTTCAAAGCAGATGACAGAACTGGAGAGAAAGTAGTTTGCTGCTTGCAGGGAAAATATAAAAATTCACGTAGGTACTGATTCAATATTGACGCCAGCCCTTGTCATTCTTTTATCATCATTCTTTGCACAAAAACAGAACTTCCAGTGGATACTTCATTAAAAATTAAATACAGGAATCATGTCAAAGTACTCTGTAGGCAAGAGCGTGTTCTTTATACAGACCAACACCCATTTTACCTGTTGTTTCCATATCTAAAAAGATCTAAACACCCCAGCAGATCCAAACAACGTTTTATGCCTGAATTCATCCCTCCTCCCCAACAACTGTCTTCAATATTATTCCCCTGCATTCATTGTATGAAATAGAAAGCAGAGTGTCGGACATGAGGCAGGAAGCCAGCAAGTTACTTATCTAATCAGTACACCCTGCCATAAATAACAATACTCAAGTCGCAGATCAAGATTATTTGCTTAAAAATTAAGCTTTATCACCATACTTCTCAGAATTTCAGGCTGAGGCAGACTAATACACAAAGAGCTTATATTTATTTTTTAGTAAAATAAAGGTCAGGATTAGACTTAAACCACTGAAGTCTTCAACAACTGGAATAACAGATTAACATTTATACCAGCCTCAAAACCAGTGCAGGTTATGTTGGCATTGCTATAATCCAACAACTTTTTTATTACTTAAGTAATAAAAACAAATATCTTTTTTTATACCTTGTACTCTTTTACAGCTTTGGTATATATCTTTTATGATACTGTTTTCTATTTTATATGCAGTAGGATAGCTACAGAACAGGGAATTTAAATTTAAGCCCAGCTGGGAGTTTCTTGTTAGCTTAGGCAAGTTCGTAGATATTCAGATGCATCTTAGAGCAACTGTCAGTTTCCAGCTTCGGTAGGAAGCACAACTTGAAGCTTTATGTCAAAATGCACATGTGTGTAGCGATTCCAGGAAGCATTTATTAAAAAAGAACTAGCAGTGAAACACAGAAGAAAACTTGGCTTAGGTATTTTGGTAATTTTTTTTTCCTCACCATCAGTCACTTATTTCTCGCCTTCACTTTTTTTTAATCATCATATGAAAACCCTCATTCCTTCAATTTCTAAAACACATAAGAAATAAAAAAAAAAAGAAAAAAAAAAAAAAAGAAAGACTAAAGCATGCAGCAACATACCATATCCTCCAGGGACGTCTTTCATGCTTTGGTTCTCTGAAGCGTTTCACTAAGAAGAAGAAAAAAAAAACGTAGTTTAAAACTATCAGCAAATCCCAAAACAACAAAAAAAACCACCACAGGAAAGCGAAAGCAAATTGTCTTGCAGAAACATTACATTCTTTGATAAAGTAGATCTTACACAACTGCATTTCATTTTATCAACCTGTAAGGATACATTCTTAAAGAAACTGACTCCCTTCCATCACCTTCAAGTTCCTACAGATCGATCATCTGCTGCCAATACACCTAACAGAAAAAAATAATCTGTCACTGACCACCATTTCCCATTTCACTGGCCTGAGCCTTTATGACCGCCCATCCAGAAAATTTAATTTCTGATAGGAAAGCAGGTATCAGAAAAACCTGTTTCTTTTGCTCGCTGGAGACCAAAAGTCAAATTGGAAAATGCTTTCACAATACAGGGGCAATTTTTAATATCAGAAATAAATCAAGTGAATTCGTAATGAGACAAATATAATTCCCTGACAAAGTATATTTATTTTCTGCATGACGAATAAGGCTTTTTTGGGCAAACTGAATTGCAAAAGGAAAGCAGGAGAGATTTTTTTTTTTTACTAAATAATCCATTCACAAAAGTTGATACTTGTTAACGTATTAAAAGCTCAAAAAAAGAAAACCAAACAGTATTGAAATTAATACCAACTATGTAAAGGCAAAAAAAACCCCCAAATTTGTCCATTTCACAATCTTGACACAGTTCATAATGCAGATTGGTTGGGTATCTGCTAGAAAGCTCCTCTCACACCCTGCCTGGCTACTCCCGAGACCATCCCAGGAGCCATCAGCCCATCCCAGGTCTGAGCCCAGAAGCAGATGGGGAAACAGAAACCACAGACCTGGAGGAAGGGATGGCTGTCCCAGGAGAGCCTCAGCCCGCTGGCCAGGGGTGACATCCTTCCTGGGAAGCCAGCTCCAGAGCAGCTTTGGGAAGGAGGCAGCCAGTGCATCAGGGTACAGGACAGGGAAGAGTGGTTTGGGATCGTACAAGACTTACTATGAAATGTTTAGGAGAGGAACCAAAGGCAGGGAAAGGGAAGGATCGAAATGACTCATGGAGGAACAAGTGTGAGAAAATAGAGGGTTAAGGGGATATAAAGAGTTGCTCAGATGTAAACAGTGGCTGGTCCATAATCTTTCACCATCTGATCTGTGGTGTGTTCCATCTTCTTAGGAAATTCCATTTCTAACACTTTTTAGGCAATAAAACCTTCTTCCTTAATGGGAACACATGCTTGGCCCTGCCACGGGGCAGGCCTGGTGCAAGGAGCCACAGCAGCCTTGCCTCTGCTGGATCTGGCCTAACAATGTAACACAGATTTATCTCCTGTTGCAGCTGCAAGATACTAATTCATTATATATCCCAAAGATAACAGGGCAATGGAAAACCTTTCCGCTAAGGATGGGGGTTTTATGTAGACAGATACATATCTCTATCTATATGTGCTTTACTTCCTTCTGTCCCAGGTTCAGCATCACTCCAGCTCCTTCAACATTAAGTCTTGAAAAATAATTATTTAGGCTCTTATTTCAGAAATCATATCTTAAAAAATAAAAACAATTAAGCCCTGATTCGCCTTCTCCCCTTCAACTTGCAGAGATTGTCTTAAAAGGCACAATCCATTGCAGGTATAGGTCAGGCAAAACATCAATATTTTAAGGTGCTTCTGCAGGTACTAGTGATGACAAAGTATCAAGTAGGACGCTGTAAATAAGTTGTGCTTACGCAGCTTACAAGACTGTAAAACACATTTTGATTTATGAACCAACCGCAAACTTTTCAACAAGGCAATTTTCCGCAAAGCCAACCATCCTCATACTATATGGCATTAAGATGATTACCTAAACTCCTTAAAATAAATATATTTTTAAAAGTCACCTCAAAGGTGGAGGGGCAGCATTTGCAGGGAGCACTGAACTAAAAACTTGCCATTTTATTGTCACTGTTTCTGACAGCATATAGAAACTGTTTCACTCCCATAAAATACAATGATTAGAAATGAAAAAGTGACGAGGCAAAGACTGTACATTAACACCAAAGTTAAAGTTGTAATAACAACATTTGCCAGCAATTTTCTCTGTGAACAGCATGTCATAATTATAAAACTTCTGTTAAAAATGAGTGGCATCCAGCTACGTTAACTAGTTTGCTCTTTATGAGAAGTCCTTCCCAATCATGCTGTGGATTACTTTAGTGTTGCTTTTGCACAACAGGAAGCCACAAAGCATCACAAAGTAAATGCAAGAAAGGTAAGTTTCAACTTACTGTAGAGTTTGTGCAAGATGCTTTTCTGCAGAAACAGAAATTAAACTGGTAAGATTTGCATACTTGGGACAGTGGGGAAATTCCAAGCTTAGGCTTTTGTCTACTGTTCCTATGAAGAAATAAATTGTATGAGCCTAGGGATTCATTTCTTCCTCTAAAGTATTTGTGCAAAAAATTGTGTTTCGAGAGAGGGCATTCAAAACCAGTTCAACGAAACCAGTTGAATTGTGTTATTTTTTGATTGTGATATTCTATCGACACCATTTCAAAGGTTATCCATACTGAGAAAAAGACTTCAGAAGGTCCATGTTTCTCTGGCCAGTTCTGAAAATATAACATTTGTGTTAACATTAAACAAGAAAGTTAACTTTGAGAGCCTCTACAGATGTCTTTTGGGAATGTATTGAATGGTTGATCACAGCACAAGCTCCTATGCCCCCAGAATGGAATGGAACAATATATTATCACATCAGAGTGGTTCAAGTTGAAAGCAATTTAACTTCTCCCCCAGCAAAGGAGTGTGTTTTCTCTGTGGTTATAGACAGATGAGGCTTTCCCAGTAAGCAAACTCAGCAAATAAACAACCGGCTGTAGATAACCACACTGGTAAACTCATTAACAGCACGTTTGCTATTACTAAACGAATTTTGCACACAGAAGGCAGCACACTTTTTAAAGATAAAGATTCTGTAAATTGTTTTAAGCATCTATCAAACTGGGGAGGGAAACCCGACTCTTTCTCTTGCCCTCCCGCAAAACATGGCATGACTGCAGGTGCTCTCAGCCCCACTCACGGCGCCCCCT